GCCCCTCCCATTAAATTTCTCAGAGAAAAGCTCTGGTAACGAGGTCAGTTCCAATTCAGGACTCAAATTATTGGTTTTAATTATATGAGCTTGACAACAACATTTTTATGAATGAAAAGAAAGTTGTTGCTATTCAAGACTGTTATTATGGTATGTTCATTGTCCTTATAAAATATAAAAGCTGTTGAGAAGTTTTCTTGTTACCCTGGAACTGTTTTAGCATATTTGTTATAAATAAAAGAGCAAAATTTTTCTTCGATTTGTAAACATCTCTTATCCTATTTTTAATCTGATTTTTTCGTCCGACCCCCCACCCTTTCCTTCATTTTTTTTCGGCTGGCCCCCCCTTTCAAGCCAATTTTTTTCGAGTGGCCCCCCCAAAATCCCACCAGCGCCCCCTCTCTCATAAAAAATGAACGGTCCCTTTGGCCAAGTCTGAGTTGGCCTCCCACGCAGGCGTTTTTAGGGGAGCTCGTTTTTCTTCCCTCCCCACAAACGCCTGCTCAACCGAAAACAACATTCCTTTCTCATTGTTTTATTTGCACGGTAAGTGACCAATAAACAGTTGTGCAATAAAGTGTTGACAGGCTAAACGCGACTAAAAGGTGACCCTAGAGTTACCGTTTTCCTTCTTTTCTTTCCTTCGCTAAGGTTATGCAGTACATGGAGTATTTTAAAATTTAACTACATCTTATTTTTGCCGCTCTGAATCTAACATTTATTAGGGGTCAGAAAGCTTTCCCAGTGTTTCATGCAGATCGAGTAATTATCAGATTACCTCGCGGTCAAGGTCAACTTTCCAGAATTTGGAAAGTACAATGTGATTGGCTAAACATGGGAAAGGAATGTTGTCTTCGGTTGAGTAGGCATTTGTGGGGAGGGATGAAAAACGAGCTCCCCTAAAAACGCTTGCGTGAGGAGGGATGAAAACGAGCTACCCTAAAAACGCTTGCGTGGGAGAGGGTTTGCTGCCTTTTTTAGGAGATGGTGCTTACTAGTATTTCAGGGGGGCGCTTATTCGAGGATCGAGGAGCACCGCAGTGACACCAAATAGCAATTTATTTCACGCAAGCTTTATTAAACAATAACTCAAATGTTAGCACGCAAGCAAGCATGTGTCATATACATTAGTTATCTCCACTAGAATACTGTACATAAGTCTATAAATAACCTAGTCTACGCATCTACCAATAACGAGGCAAACGATTAATAATAATAATAATAATAATGTACTGCTTGCACTTACACCATAACTATATTATTCTCATGGCCAATTAAGGAGACACAAACCCTTCCTCGTTATAACTTTTAACATGGACCAGTTCGCGAATATTTGGAAAGAACACCTTAAAATCAGTGATGTTACCAAGTTTGGGAGTGATTTTGTTGATAACAACCAGAGATATACAGGTAGCAAAGTCGAGAAATTTTAAAGATGTTGTATGGTGGGGGGCAATTTTGCGTCCCCTCTCTACAAAATGCCTGTAAAATGCCTCGACTTTGCAAAGCTATAGTTTCACTCAGTATAGAAAAAAATAACTTTCAAACATGGCCAGTTAGCAGATTTTGTGGAGGGGCCTATCGAGTCTGTCGACAAAATCCGGTGACGTTGACCTTCAAAATAAAACCTCTCTACTGAGCAAGCCTTTCTTATGCTACGATTCCTAAAATATATGTATTTTTTTTAATAAAAAACAATTTTTCTTGAATTGATTCTTGACACACAAAGTGTGAAACTTTGAGAATAATGACACTATTTTGCACCCTCATTCCCAGACCCTCCCTTCTTTTCATCCCCTAAAGCGCTTTAGGAACAGGAACCTGGGAACAAGTTTAAATGCTCCGAAACTATGGCTTGTTTACACTGAGAGAAGCAGCTCCTGTAGAGTAGGACGACGCTAGGACCAAGGGATCAATTTAGGATTCTGGGAAACTGCCCACCTACCCCTCTCTTAAGCCATTGTTTTGTCGTAAGTGAGATGTAAGCGTTAATGTTAGCTTTGGGGAGGGGGAGGAGGACAGTTCCCCAGAAGCCTAAATTGATCCGAACCAAGTACAATCTTTAGTACGTAAACTGAAGACAAACATTGTATGTCGCTGCGATGATCCACTTTTTAGGATCTTCCTACCATGGGATCTTCTTCAATGCAAACAGCCCCTAAATCTGACACAAAAATGGCAGCATATTTGGAACATGCAACTCCAAGAAAAAGGAAGAAATTATAGCGGCAGCGTTTCAGCCTATCTTCTCCTTGTTAAGGAAGGTTTACTTGGGCAGGATGTTACATTGAATTTAGTCACATCAATACTTAAACGATTGAAAGCATATAAAATAACGTAGACGCATTTGGAAGCTTACCATGGAAAAACTACAAAGTGGTACCAAAAAATTGGCAAAAGGATCAGAATGATTCTGTAATCATACAAAATGTTTGAAAAGTTAAAACCAAATTATTCATTAGAGTGCAAATTGTGTGTTAACTGGTCCTCCCACTAAAAGTGACATGCACGTCTTCATAGTTAATAGAGAAAGCAAAGATCCAGCCCAAACTTTAGAGAAAGGCAGGCTTTCTGATCTCATAGCTACTTCTATGATTTACGGTTAGGTTTAGGTATGGTGTAAGGTTTCACCACACGTTCATTTCGTGTGAAAAAACCCTAAGAAAGTCTGCGTAGGAAAATATATTTTTTAATTTGTAAATTACAGATTAACCTATATAAAATAAATCACAGTCCCTTTACATTGCTGAGCTTCCATTATTTTGAAAGGGTGGAGAACGTTACCCAGTAAGTCATTGGTCTCAGCCAACCTTGAATCAAATCACAAAATCTCAACAGCTTTTATACATGTTTGTTACAACTTCAGACAAACAAATTTCAAGGACTTTTCAAAGATTTTTCAAGGCCAAAATAATTAATTACAGTTTTCAAGGACTACAATTTACTAAACAAATCGGCAATCTTTGACCACCTTTTGAACACCTTATCGGCTAAAACACGTCATGAAGTCATTTACGATTTTTACTTCTTCAGCCATGGTTGATCACGTTATTTTATACTACTTTCCGCAACAACGCTTTGGAAAATGACTGGGCATGACTTCCAATTGCATCTGACGTACAGAAACAACATTTAAAATCAAGAAACAGAAGTAAGATATTGCTCATGCACAAAAATGTTTTCAGACAAGGTGGCGAATTTCAAGGCTTTTTCAAGACCTAATAAAGAAATCAAGTACTTTTCAAGGACCTTAACCGAAATCAAGGACTTTTCAAGATAACTACTAAAATTCAAGACCTTTTCAAGATTGTGCGAACCATATTTGTAATGAGTTGTGACATCAGTCATTCTTCTGTGTTTCATTCCACTTTACAGTCATGAAATTTTCAACACAAAATCTAGCTTAGAGTTTCAAACTAGGGTCTCCGCGGAGCTTCTTGGCAAGTCTCATGGTTGATATTTGATCATTCACCATCTCTGTTTAAGAAAAAAACGGAATACTTACCCAGAGACTTTGCTTTACTCTGCACATCTCACCATTCTTATACTATTATTTATTTAGTAATCTTAATTATTAGTGTGACTATTTTATTAGTTTGTGAGTTGAAGAGTGCCATCTACAATTCGTCGTTTTAAAATGTCATTTTCCCATTCTTCAACAGTTTCTTTGCCATTCTCAACAGTCCTATGAAATAAAATAAAATGAAATGAAAATGCTGCCTGAAACACATAGAGTTTTTATACCTAGGAGGGGTAGAAGGATGAGCATGAGTTCCAGGAGTATATTTCCTATTTCAATAGTTTCAAAAGTACAGTCTCAGGATACAGTCAAATCTATATCAAGATGCAGTCACCTTTTGAGGTCTCAGAAATGTTTTTTTTTACATGCTACCAGAGGATGAAACATAAGCCATCTTGATCATTTAGTATTGCCCAAATCGTTTTCGGCCATAAAAGTATATTCTATGATGAAAGTGAATGTGATCCTGGCAACTAAATGAACAACTTAAGTTGGTTAAAAAAATGTGAAAAAGTCAGGCCTTTTGCCTAAGACGGCTTAATACATGTGTACATTTTTGTAAATTTTGTAATGTCCATTGTTCCTTTGGCCTTGTTTTCCATAATATGAGATAATGAGTTTGGAAAATAAAAAAATTGAACCTTGGAAGGATAACATTTAACCAGAACATTATAAACTGTCTGTTAGAGAGGCTAGATATAAAAAATGTAAGATACTTTTTCGTTGTTATCTTCTTTCCATTTACAATTTTTGTTGACGTTGATGTTGATTTAAAATTCCCTAAGGAAGAAAAAAATGCAAATTATGAAAATATCCTGCTCTAGACTAGCCTGAAATTCATCCGATTGCTTCGAGTCCTTTTCTCCTCTCAATGTAACTGAGGGAGTAATAACGACTTGAAGTAATCGGATGAAATTCAGGCTAGCTATTGACCTGTACAAGGCTAATGACTCTTTAGTACAGCATAAGGAAATCTATAGAGCGGTTTTCACTTGACTGTCGAAAGTAATTGAGGAATTGGTTTGGTTTTGGTTTTACTACGCCCTTTGGTTGGCTAGTGTATTTACTTTGGTTTTGGTTTTACGACAGTCAAGTGAAAACCGCTCTATTAAGCATTACATCACTTCCATAATACACAACCTTACTAATATTGGAATCAAGATTCTCACAATCAGCTTTGATTTGCAAACAAAAAAAAAATAATGGACATTCAAATGTTAAGAGGTTTCTCAGAAAAGGTGCACATGATTCAGGGAAAGATTTGACTGTAAAAATAATTATTATTAAAAGGAAAATCCATGCAGTGAATTACCTCCCTGACGTCCACCACCACCACCACCATGACTAAAACTTTGGAACGATGTAAAACTAACAGTGAGAAATTAAAAAAAGTAAATGTTACAAATCAAGACTGGCATGCATGAAGAATATAATGAACATGTACTTAAGTACGGATCCAGAGTAACAGATAGGTAGCATTGATTGGAAGAAAAAGGTAAGAAAATTAATGAATAAAATAATGTACTCCAAAAGCTACAGTGCTTAAAAATGCTAGACTTTGAGATAAAAGTTAAGATATAAAATAATACAATGTTCGACTGAGGGAGCAAAATTAGACATTGTGTTTATCCTTTTCTGCCCTGAGTACTTTCTGCTGGTAAAGTTACATGGTGTCAGAAGTCAGGGAAACATTCAAGCTGTACCTGTTTGAACCAAAGGGATCACTGTCAAAACCATTACCAAATCCAAAACTGGAAGAAAAGCTAAAACCAGGAAAGCTACTTGCAAATGGGTCACTCGGTCTCATCCGGCCCTGACTTCGGTTTCGGTTACCTGGTTTTTCAAAAAAAGGTGTGAAACTGATCGTGAATATCATATATAAACAGTATCAAACATGCATCATATAAAAGACTGTTACATTTTATGCAGTTCCACAATGTAAATGCAAACAAACCACACTGCATTTATTTCAAACATGGCCTGGTGAACATTTAAACCTCTCTACAGTTCATAATTCTTGCAGCTGACCTACTAAAAAGCACGGATTGTTATTCAAACATCATTTTCTTCTTTTCTGCTCATGTGAAAAATGCAAGCTGCAGACATGATGGCCAATTAGCTTTAGAGGTTTACTTTACCCCAGAAATATGATCTTGGCACATTTCTGCAGTTGTAAATAATATTTATAAAACAATCTTTTTAATCATCAAAACTCCTCAAAAGCTTTATTACTCTAACCAAGGAAAGCTAGACTTATTGACAACAATAACTCAACCTTACCAAAGAAACTGTCAAACATGGAATCATGCTGAAAAAAGTCTCTGTTGAACAAAGGGAAAGGGTTGTTAATGGTTCATCAACGCAGAAAAATATAAATTTAAAAAATACAGAAAAAATATAAATAAAGTAATATAAAGTATCAACTGGTTAATATAATCTTATGATATTTAAGACTTGTGCTAGAGTGTTCAATACATCTTTTATTACTTAACACACGTAAGCTATAACTACAAATATCTTTTTGTTTAAGCAGTACTGTTATTCTGTTAGCAATTTTTACATTTGCCTACAGCTGAACATACAGCTGTAGTACACTGTAAATACAGTGGACTCCCAATAACTCGAACCTTCAAAGGGAAGAAAGAAAACTGAGTAATCAGGAGTTTGGAGTGAAGGACTGAAAATTAGGAAAATATAGTTTTAACTATTCAGTGGACATTTTAATCACATATACAAATCTCAAATGAAAACGGAACAGGTATGACTTGTAGATTTATTTTATGAATCAGAACCCAAAGTTACAAAACAAAGCCTTACAAATAAGTACAGCATGTATTTTGCGGTTTTGAGAAGTAGTTTGTTAAAAGGCGATGACTATGCTGATAAGCAGATCCATTCCTATTTACACTGTAGTATTTTGGAAAGCTGTTTCACAGTAGATGTGTCACCATCAACAACAGCCTCCATAAAAAGCTATAATATGTCAGTCACATGTCAATGGCATAGCACAGTTTCTGTTTTCATGGCGTTTTGGTGTTGGCTTATCACAACTCCATCCTCATCTTCAAGAATATTAGGGCCATTTACAGGAGGAAAAAAAACGTCTTATGTAAGACGTGTCCTAAATAAGAGGCGAACTATCCTGTATAAACGGCACATTTCATTTGAAATTTAGCTAAGATGTGTCTTATCTAAGAACAGCCCATAACACCTGTTCTTCAGAAAGACGCATCTTAGCTAAGTTGCATGTTAATGTGCCGTTTATTCAAGATAGTTCGCGTCTTATTAAGGACGTGTCTTATTTTTCCTCATATAAAATTAATGGCCCTATTGTTACCAGGCCAGATTCACCTTGAATGTCACTTTCATTCAATAGCTTAGTATTAGTTGTGCGGAGTGTAAGTGTTTAGTCCTCAAGATATATTTGTTATGTAATTTAGTGCCAGGCATCATGCCTGAGTAGGACTGGAAACCCTGTATGACATAGTGTGACTTAACAGAAGACATGTGCTTGGTGAGTGAAGAGAAGTGAGTGATGTGAGAGAAACATAGTGAAACGGATCTTGATGTTTAAATACACTTGAAGAAATTGAACCCCGGAGTTCGTTCAGTGTTACAAGAAGTTTGTCAGCACAGTCAGTAATGTTTCAGCAAGTACAATTTTTTTTCAACTGGTCACGCCCTTAAAACATAGTTCAAGTTATCAAGGGTAAAAAAATCACTTCAAGTTTGCAGATTCGAAGGTTTGAATTATCAAGGGTTTGAGTTACCAAGGATAAAATTGAAGTAAAAGTATGAAGAAAATCATGGGACTCTATTTTGGCTCAAGTAGCACGAGGCTCAATTTAGCAAAGGTTCGAGTTATCGGTAGTTGACTGTAAACAATATTGATTGACTGATTGATTGATTGGATTGATTTAAAAGGCCCTGTGGTTTACACTAAACAATGTACAGCTTCACTCTTGCAGTCCTTCAACTGTTCGATAAACTTGTCTTAAAAGCCCAAATTTAAGACGTGATCCAGGGTTGTCATTAAGAGCCGGGGGCCGGGGAAAACTAAGAGAGTGGCTGCCAGCTACTTTTATTGGAAAATAGAAGAAAAATAGAACCAAAAGAAATCCCTAGCCGTTTGATTCCCCGCCTACTTGTTGTGTTTACCCGGCAACTTGAAATCTTAGTGACAACCCTGGTGATCTCCTTAAGTATGTTCATTGGCATATTACTTAAGTTTTGTAAAACATTAGCAGCTTACCTAAATATTTCATCTGGGTCACGGAAATGAAAGTCAAATCCAGGAAAACCACCAACACTGGGACCGCCACCACCACCTAAGGGATACATTGACCATTTTTAAAAGAATGAAAAAATTTTTTTAGTGAATCGCACTACAAACTTAATCCCTGATGGTCAGGACAGACCAGATTGGTATCCTTGATGAAGACTAGTTTTGTCTAGTCGAAATATTGGACAAATAAATTACCAATTCCTTAGCTCCCCAATCAGCCTTACCCTCAATTTTATTTTATTTTATTTTTTTCTACCTGTTTATTCTATGTATATAATATTTTGCTTCAGAGGCATATACCTCCAAAAACTCATTAATAATTCATAAAGAAAAAACAAAAGAATTTGATGTTTAATGAGTGTCTTTATATCTGATAAAGACATGACCAAACTTTCTGACCAGTTTTTTAGACCAATAAAAACCCAAATCTAAATATTAGTACAAGAATGAGTTGATCTATAAGGGAGATTTTGAAGCCATTCAAAAAACGAGCCGTCGTGTATCATCAGGTGTAATGTTCAACTGCTGGCTTTACCTCGCATTTTTAACCCTAATAATACAGTCCTGTTCATTTTTTCAACAGTGCTTAATATTCTATTCTTAGAAGTGGGATAACTGCACCAGTGCAGGGCAAATAACAACAGGCTTGTACCAAAAACAAGACAACGTGTTCTCAAAATCACTTTTATCATGGCCAGATCACTTTCTATTAATCTTTCTTTGTCTTACCTCCTGTTAATCCCTCTTTTCCATATCTGTCATAGACATCTCGTTTCTGTTCTATGATAGAGGAAGTAAGTAGAGGTTTCAATAGCATAGCACACAAATGAGATAGAGTGACTAATTTGCAATTTTTGTCTGAGTTTTGTCATTTTTCTCATTTTCATGACAAAAGTCAGACAAAAGTGATGAAGTCGCTAATGTTAATTTCAGTTTGTTTGTCTGAGTTTCGGGTCTATAAATAGTAACTGAGGGCAGCACTATTGCACTTCCTATTTTGTTTGGCAGTGTACACAACAGAGTTACTGTTACATCCCATGGGGGGGGGGGGGGGGGGGGGTAAAAATGTGTGAGATGTGTATTTTGTAGTTGTGTTTGTGTTTGGTGAGGTGGTGGCAATAAAAAAGAAAGCGGGGGCCATTATTTTTCCCTTTTTTTTTTTGGTGGGAGGGAAACAAAAGGGTTTTCTGGTAACGCGGGGGGGGGGGGGGGGAGGGGTAGTCAGTAAAAAATTTATAAAAGGTGCATTGTACAACACATTCAACCAAAATGTCTAGGAATTTGGTAGGCTCGATTACCAACCGTTGTGTGGGAATATGAGCCCACATTTATCCCCTGATCTTCGGGGAGGATCAATGACCAGACCTGAGAGACGGCTGAAATCACGCCAAGGAATTTTGTCCAAAACTAGTTTCCAGACAAGTTCAGCTCAACCATTTTATTTTAGGAGGAAAATTTAATCAACTTGCCTGCTCTGTCACAAATTTGCCGCTTAATATTATCCAGGCCTGAGAGGGTCAGCTCTTTGATCTACTACACCAACTTACGCAATTTGTTTCACGAATATTTTACAGTAAGAAGAGACTCGCAAAAAACTTGAGAATCTTTTGTTTTCAAAAGACAATTGTGATCGTATAATCTTCTCTCAAGCGCCCTGGTTTGAGTATGCGCACAGTTAAAAAGGAATCCACTAAATCCACTTCTTGTGATTATTTTACTTTTTACTTCTATCTGATTTTTTGTAAACAGCGCCTTTGAATCTTTTAGAAAAGGCGCTATATAAATGGATTATTATTATTATTATTATTATTATTATTATTAAGTGGTTACTGCAAACATGTCAGTTTACAAATTTCGTTACTAAAAGAATATTATTTACTTTCACACCAAACAAAATGTTTATCCAACTTACTGTCTGACAATACATCATAAGCTTCTGATATCAATTTGAACTTTTCCTCGGCTTGCTCCTTATTATCTGGGTTTTTGTCAGGGTGCCATTTTAAAGCTAATTTCCTATATCTGTAAAACAACATCCAAGAAATATGCATTCAACACCTAAGTACTTGTACATTACACATGCACAACACAGTAAGCCTCAGTTAATAACTGAGGTCAGAACTGTTTCAGTATAACACAAAATTCATACATGATATAATCACGACTAATGACATGGTATAACAATCGTTGATTAGTAAGATCATTACTACTAGTTGCGAAACTTGAAAGACACCAACGGGTACGTGAATATTATTCTTATTTACGGTTTGTTTTAACATTTCTTGACTAATTGTAGTTCCTGTTGATATCTTTACGTAGATTTCGAATTTTATCTTCTGTATTTCTGTACATGTACATTTGCATCCGCTGGATAGTGCTATCCAACATTCGAATAACTGGGGCCAGGTACAGCTGTAAATAACTTCAAGCTAACTGGAAAGTGACCTCAAAGTGAGTAATCTCATGCTGATGTTTTAAGTGTTGATGAGAATGAGTTTTATTTGTTAAACTATAATGAGCAATACTGTTAACACTTCTTGAAGAAAATAAGTATTGTAAACAAGTACACCATACATTGGCTGCATAATTGATGAGTTCATGATGCGAAAATCATAGAACATATGTGGTCAACCTGCAGGAAGTAAACACTGCATGGAAGATGTACAAGCAGAAATAAAGTTAAGAAGCATAAGAATGTTCAAGAAGAAAGTCAACGGTTACTTTGTAAATTTGGAGGCTCCTGCCATGACAGAGAACCATTGAGATATGTACTAGGAGAATAAAGCTTATTACCAAAACCTTCCAAAAAGAAAATGGAAATGCATTGAGGTTTATAATATGCTCTGATTATGTACAGTACACCACATTTGTCTGGAATAAAAAACTTTCATCTAGATTGGGGTAGAACCCAACCTGTAGGAAAAAATACTTCATGTTCATCTACTGTTGTGTGACTAGGTGAAAGTGACATTAATCTACTGCTGTGGCAGATGAGATACATGAAATGGAAATAACAGATGTGATTCAGCATTTCCATAATAGCATTAAGTGTGGCTCTAAATATCTTATGTACTTGCTGTGATCAGTTGTGGTATATCATCAATTACAAAATATGAAGCTAGCAAAATACACTACATGTAAGTGCACAAAAAATCTCCTTGATGTGTGCATAACTGGTAAAACTATTGATAATTGTAGACAATACAGAATGGGTTTGCTTAACATACCGTAAAATTTTGAAAATGAGCCCTGAGGCTTATATTTTTCAAAGGCCCTTTTTAAGGGGCTTATTTTTGGAGGGGCTTCTGTACGGAGGGAAATTTGCGTTTCAAAATCGATTGGGCTAGCTTATAGTTGGAAGGAAATTTACCATTTTTGCTATGTCTTACTATACATTTTAGGGCAATTTCCAAGTACAAGCCCCCGGGGGGGACTTATATTCAGAAAGGCGATTTCACGGATGGTTTTTTGTGTTACAAGTTTTTTGGGTGTTGGTATAGATGATTTATTACATCTTTAGCCCTTATAAAAAAGAATGCAATATGCTTTAAATTATTCTGGTACAAGATTTTTGTCCGCTTAAAATCAAAATTAGTCAATGTCCTGGTGGATTCCGTCTTAATATTTCAGGAATCTGTATTAAATGATATACACAAATAAACAAACAGATCTGTCAAAAAGAGCAAAACACTGAGTTTGCATGTGTACACAAGAAAACCTCAAAATTCTATTTCCAACAATCTCACTTTAGAAACTTTATAAATGTGGTTTCCCTTTTCCTTTCTGGATAAACAAAATAATGACGTTCGTACAGAACTTACACCCTTCATTTAATAGCCAAGTCATGTTCGAGTCGTCTCATTTTTCAAAATGAAGAATAACAATATTATACCAACACACAGTGCCTTTAATTTTATGTATATGGACAAAGGATATTGCATGGGATAAAACCTTATAAAAACGTCAAACATAACTTTGCATGTGATTCGAAGCAAGGTTAGTTTAAAGTATTAAAAGATAACTTAATTACAATAGAAGTATCAATCCTGAAATGTGCAACGTATACACCACACTTAAGTCTTATGTAAATTTTCAATACATGCTTAAAAGCTTACAGCAACCTTATGCAGAAAAGACGATGAACGTTTGTACATATGTTCTTTCTAGCTTACAAGTAAGATTTGTGGAAGCATCTCAACTCTAAATATACCTGCATGCTGTTACAAAGGGGGAACTATGGGTTTGCCTAGTCATGACGTGAAGAATTAATAACAGCAAATGATTCAGAAGATATTCAAACTAGCAAAAACACTTACGCTTTCTTGATGTCTTGATCGGTTGCACTTCTTGGAACCTCCAAAATGTCGTAGTAATCTGACATTTTAACTGTTAAACACTTGCACACACGAAGAGAGAACACAGATTTGACACTTTACGAGAACGACGATGATTTTCGATTCCGGGTAATCAATTCCGAGCCTCGCTTTGGTTCATGATATTATAGTGACGTAGTTCATTACCAGTCTCCTCTCTCATTCCTTTCCATTCCTATTCCACAATGAAGGTTAAGGGGAGGGAAGATTCAAATTGTTTTTTTTGCCTTGCGGCTTCGCGAGGATGTCTGTTCAAAAAAACAACATTCCCGAATCCCGCATTGTCGACTCGCCAAATCCCGTTCATAACGGTTTATTTCCACCAAATTATAAAAGGTTTGATTCATGATCATTAATTTTCAAAGAAGTCGAAGAAACGTCAAAGCATCATAGTGCATCGGGAAATTGAGTAGTTTTAATTTTCAGTGGACAAAAACCTTGAACCAGAAAAATTTAAGCAATATCGCATTCATTTTTACACTTTTCAAGGGTTATAGACTTAATTTGTTATCTGTAATGACACCAAAGACTAATTCTTATGGGCACCCGAGAAAATAAATGTCAAATTCCACAAAATGACATCTTAATACACATGAAACAGTTTCAGTATTCAGTAACTGTGTTTTCCCAATTCTTGTGAAATCAGACATCTATTTTCTCGGGCTCCCATGAAGAATAGTCTTTGGTGTTATTACAGATAAATTACATCTATAGCCCTAGAAAAATGTAAAAAAGAATGCGATATTGTTCAAATTATTCTAGTTGGCACATAACAAGTAATTGTCCACTGATAATCAAAATTACTTATTATTCATTCAAAATATTTCCCCGATTCTGATTGGCTAAAGCACACGCATGATTCGCCATAACCAGCTACTGATGACCAAATTTGGAAGAATTTTGCGTTTAATGAACCGATGAGGTCAAAAGTGCAGCTTCCTTGCAGGTTAATGCACCGCTAACCGAGAAGACCAGGGGACGAGGTGGCTGGAGGTTGAGTTGTTTTGATTGTGAAAACAAAAATGGCGGACATTTCACTCGTTTCAAGAGTAAGGACTGAGCGAAATAATGGCTAAAATTTTGGCAAGAACAGCAAGAACACAACTCGAAGGGCGACATCTGCTATTTGGAGAATATTTGCGGAGTTGAACAACCCCAAACGTGCACTATAGAAGATGAACTTAACATCGATGGATCGATGGAGGTAAGCATGTTTTAGCTATGTTTTTAAACTAGGAGTTATTTTGAATGAATAATAAAACAATTATTGAATTAAGCTTTCGTATCATATAAAGAATTATGGAGATCTCGGAGGGGGCTATCCGCCTCGGCCTACGGCCTCGACGGATAACACCCTCCTCGATCTCCATAATTCTTCATAAGATACTCCAACCTCGTCCCCAGGGCTTTTCCCTCAAAAAATGGGTTTTTTGAGGGAAACGCCCTGGGGACAAGGTTGAAGATACTCAGCCTCATTCATTAACTGTTAATTAATTTCCTAATGGATTCCGTCTTAATCTGTCGCGAGCGTAGTTTATTGTGACGTCACGAAACTGAGTGATTAATTGTTGCTTTTTGTGAGCTACTCGGTACAACATCAAATTGTTCGTTTCCAATGCGTGTTTTATTCGAGAAATGTTGAGATGATTTCGAGGAAGTTAAGATTTTTGGTTATTCTGGTTATCCTGTCGTCTTTCGCACAGGCGAAAGATAAATGCCCTTTGCAATGTGATTGCAGCGAGGACTTGTCCGTGGTGAAATGTCGTGACATGGAGAAGTTTCCCGTGTTTAACTTTGCCGAAAAGGTTAAAACACTGTAAGTAAAACAGTTAAAAGTAATAACTGGGACGCTATATATATATTTTTTCAAGTTTAATTTCGAAAGAAAAAAGTCTGTTTATGAATGGGTTTGCACCATGGTTTTTCGAAAGAAACCTTTTCCTGGCTTAGCAACCATGCGTGTATAGGAATATCCAGGAATTACACTTAAAAAGCAAAATTGTCAAAATAGAGTTCAACCAAAATTACCTCTCTTTTAAGCTCTTATAAATGATTAACTGGATAAACTGATTCAGTCCCATGACGGAAAGCGAACCACTCTGTGCACCATAAACCCCACACAAACACACTGCAACCACATAACTGAAAGATAGTCCTGACACACTTTCGATTTCTTGAATTGAGGGCTAGAAGTCCTTGGGCTACGCTCATGTCACAAATCTTCCTTGCAAGTTTCATCGGCAGAAAAAGCGATAAAGCGAGCGACATGTATATTAAATAGGATGTCTATTTCACTGTATTTTCTGGTCAAAGGAGAAAGACGATAAAGCTAACAATAACTAACAGTCGATTATGCTAGATTTTTAGCCTTTAAAATTCTGTTTTGCGACCAGAACGCGAAATTGTTTCTGGAAGCTTAAAAGTGAGATTTCACTCAACTAAGTATTATGTAATATATGGAATTAGCACTGCTGTAACGTATTTTAATATTTGTAAGTATATTGCCATGTAAGTGTGTAAATTCGCTATTTGTTTTTTTTGGTTTTTTGTTTTCTTTTTATTACTTTATTTATTCTGTGTAATTTTTTTTTCTGTGTGTTTTACTTGCAATAAAAAAAATTAAAAAATAAAAATATATATACATTTCTTCGACCGATTACAGGGACTTGACTTATGGAAATATCAGGAACATAAATGCAAAAGAAGTCACACCTTACACAAATCTGGAAAATCTGTAAGTATTGAGAGAACCTGCAGTTAAATGAACCAAATATCAAAGTACCGGTAGGCAAAGTAGGCGGGGAGTAAAGCAGGAACACTGAGACATTCAAAGCTGAAGAGTGAGCCTACTATCAAAGCCAAACGCGAAAGACAGAAAGAAAAACGTTAGGAGGGAGTGAGTCAGAATTAGTAGCATCCGTAGCCAGTTAATCGTTATAGCGTGGGCAAGTTTTGCTAGAAACCTGCGAAGCTGTGTGTAGAATGGGGAGGAGGGACTTTTAAATCTTTCTCGCTCACTTAGCCGCCAACCTCTCACACGAGAAAAATTAATTCCGCCAGCATCGCAGGCTAGTGAATTAGTGAGTGAGTGACTTAGTATTTGTAACAGTATATCTTTACTGTATCCACTTTCTATCGAAAGAGAGGTTCTCATATTTTCGGCAAATCATCTCGTTAGGAGTAAAGTCACTTAACAAAACACATTTGGTAGCGTGACGGTACATTAAAGGTAAAAGTTTTCACTTTAGGTTGTCTTACATCCCTTAAAAAAACGCCTTTGCTTAAGTTCACTATTCATAGGGTTCCCATTAGGATTTTCGGGATTCCCCCTATTTGAAGCTCGGGTTTCGGGATTGTAAAGTAAAATCGGGTCGAGATTCGGGATTGAAAGTATATGCGAGGGATGTAGGATGCCAAAAATAACCATCTAGATTAAGGGATTGAGCGAAATTTGGGGTCGGGATTACGAGATTGAAGAACCCTATTGAGGATCCTCTATTAACTCCAACAATTTATCTTTCTTTGTGACAGGTTCATTAGTCACAATCCTCTGGACTGTGACCATGCAACTACCTACACCTTGAAATACGTTCTGAGAGAAACCATGAAACTAAAATCGTTTGATGGACATAAGATAAAATGTCCAAAACGAATGCCACTTATGGGCAAACCTCTTCATGGTTTGGCTGGTAAGTAGGCTTTCATAAACCTTACAAGTATGTATCTTGGAAAAATAGCCCATAGGTTTGAGCTTTCAATGTCAGTCTCCAAGTCAAGATAGATAAAGATACCTAAGAAAAAGTTTCTGAAATATAGACCAAAAACTCATCAGATTTCGTTTCCAATTAGGAGTTCATGCTTTTTTCTATTGAAGATGCTGTCCAAATACTGGTAACTGTCTTTGTAGGAGACTTTTTCTTTCTTCATCAAATTTCGTTCCGTTCATTTCCCATTGCAGTCAGTGCTCGGCCTTAAGTAGTAGAGGGGAGGTAGCCACGGAAGTGTGAGAAGTGAAGAGCATAAATATCCAGTCAGCCTACAAAACCTAGTGAAACCAGCAAACCTCTCGTATAACATAAAAGCACCCTTCGAACATCCTTAGAACTTCAGTTTGCCGAGCCGGCCATTCTACTCCGAACTGGAGCGCCCTCCGGGCAATTATATTATTGCCCCAGGGTTTTTATATTTCGATTATTCCAAAGGAAAATGCGACAAAGTAATCCTCATTTAACATTGGACATTCATAGCTCTCGCTTGTATACGCTTTAATTTTGGTAGTACTTTTTCAGTAGTACTTATACCATTGAAGCAAACTAGGAGCAAACACTATATAAACAATTTTGACCGGACTATACTAGTTAACAGTATAGCTCTCTAGATTAGGAAATTCGAAGTAATCGTTAAAAAAAAGCCTCATGGAAAAAAATATAATTTAATACTAGAAAACAACAGACATTTCGCTACGCCACGACAGTACTGGCTTCTACGCGGAGAAATAGAAGTAGAGTAGCGAAATGTCGGCGTTTTCTTAAGCTAATACTAAAGCTACTTTTGCATTGTTTCTTCACAGAGAGCGGTAACATTCATTATGGAGGCGGCGGTCCAAATGTTCATATTCATGCTTTGACAGGCCATCATCCTTTACACTGCATGACACCTGGGATGGTCGCGACTGTGGTGTTTTGTACAATCGTGGGACTGATCGCAGTAGCGGGTATTTGCTGGTTGATAGTATTGCTCGTGTAAGTGAAGGAAATGGATATTCAACATTTGATGTTTTACAGTTGAATTAGCCCTACTCTATTAAAGTTGCAAACCAAAAACCACAGTCCCAAATGTTTATACGCCTAGAGGCGCCGAGAATACTTTAAATCTGTAGGGACTGAAAAAGAGCCGTGGTTGATACAACGTCATCAACTCTGGTTTAATTTTCGGCTGGTTGACCTAGGAAAAATTGGAGAAGATGTTTACAATTCCCGGAGAGCATACAAAAAAAAGCAAAAAGAAAAGGACAAGGCTCCTTCGTAGTTTTCCCGCGGTTTGCAGCCGGTACTCAAATGAGTTTGTAACTTCTGATAACTTCTGATTGGCTGATTGCAGTGTGCTCTTTGTTGTGATTGGCCAATTAAAAATCAGTCTTCCCGCCTTTTCCCCGCGCCACTCTGACCTCTCCTCTCTTCAAAGCTAGATTTTTACCAGATAAGACAACAATTTTCACCATTTTCTTTTGTTCTTTACACTAATTTCAGCGCTGCCAAGAAGAAAGTTTCGAACGCTGATGATCCAGTGAGTCAAATGGAAGACGGAACCTCTACAGCAACTCAGTCAATAGACACAACTGCTGAAGCGCTGATGAAAGGCTTACAGAAACAGCGACGAAGCAGTCAGGGATTCCCTGAAAATGCAATCGTAGACTCTGAGGAAGACGATGTCGTGGAAGAACACGAATATCTGATGGCAAAAATGAAGAAACAGAGACGTCATTCTCAAGGATACGCTGATGGAGCAGAATCCAGCGACGAGGAATCGGACATGGTCGAAATCAATTTGAACGACTGATGGTCGAACAGGGCGTTTGATGGAATCGATTCCAGCAAAAATTCATAACGTTGTTAACATTATCTTTAAAACATTATTCTTTGTATCGTTCTAATATCGGATCTTGAAAAAGCAGCCCGTTCAAGAAATGAGAACATCACGCAGCTGTTAATAAAACTTCTGAATATTTCTTCATTTTTAAGCTTCTACTGGGAAAGCTGAATATGGCTCACTGCGTGCCAGTTCTATTTCACTGTCGTAACCTTCCATAAAAATCTTTTTTTAATACTTTTATACATGTGTACAAAAAACAAATAAAGGAAAATTTATTTTCCAAGCACGAAGTTTTTATTACTTTATTTCTTTATTAAGACGTTTTATTTCTTTTTCAAATACGAAGATCTTTCGCTGTTGATAACTTTATTAACTTTTTATCCGCTTAAAAGATAATTAACTTATAAAAAAATAAAACCAACTAATACAAAGGTTTCGCCGGTAGATTTTCTCCTGATAGAAAACGTGTAGAAAACTAAAGGATCGGTTCGTGTCCAGTCTTGTAAATGCCAATCAAAAGTTCACCACTGGTTAATTTTACAGTGGAATACCATTAACTGCCTCCAATACATCTCTGTAAGCGGTTTGACGAGAGAGTTTTAAACGAATGGGCTTATATCCGAGTGGGGCTTCATACCTTCCTTTGGCAACAAATACCTTGCAATCCGTATGTTTGGAGCATCAAGCCAAAGCCCCATCTTCAACTTTTACGTGGTAATAACCAAGAGTATTGTTGGTGGAGGGCAAACCAGGAACGACAAACGACACATCTAAAACTTGAAAGACAGTAGGCAGGGTACTGTTTGCCCTCAGTAAAGCAGACAAATGGAACGTCTGAAACTGACAGGAACGGCATCCGAGAAAAGGTCGGCATGTTTGCAGGAGGAGTTTGCTGCAAGTCCAGACGATACAAATGTCGCTCGAACGTCCATGCACTGCTGTTGCGAGCAAAACACGCTGTCTCCTTCCTTTATGACGAAACAACGATCGTCCTTAGTGCTCGTCTTGCGAGAAAAGTGAGACGAACCCACGAAAAAAACGGCGCTTGGACAGTTCCGCTTTGGTTTCTTGGGGGGCCGACTCGTTTGTTCCTCCAGGATGATAAACAAATTTCTCGCAATTTGGAGACTTCCTTCGATTAAAGTAAGAATGTCAGCACTGCGGACATTCACAAAAACCTCTTTTCGTGCTCTTGGATACAAGCATGTTGACACACGTGGCTTACATACAAAGAAGGATAGAATAGCAACGACAAACGAAACGAAATGGACAACGAGAAAATATAAAACAGAGACGAGGACTACCTTGGGCACGAGTGCAATGGAACAGACAACGAACAAAAAAACGTTACCAACACTTTTGTCGAACGAAATGAAACGAATAGAAACGCTAAATAACAGTCAAGAAAACAGCACTTTGAAAGCGAAATGGATTGGATAACGAGAACGAATACAAGAATAACAATAGAAAATATTAGCGAACCTCCTGGCACAAGAGACAATGAACAAATTCAGAGAGAATAACCCAGGGTAAGCAAAACGAGAAAGATGAAGAAAATCGAGCACAACGAACGAAATGAGCGGCTGGTTTACGTTACAACCTCGTGGCGAAATACTGAATGAGCCAATCGGATGGCATACAACCCACGCAACCCTATCAAACAAACCAGCCAATCACAGAGCAGGTTACTAAAGGTGCGTGTCAACCGGTTGTCAACCGGTGGAATTAACTGCATGACAATGTAAAGTGTGAGAGAGGTTTTATCGACTGGACGTCTGTGATTGACGCGTCGCTTAGTTTCTCCTATATACTTGTAAATTGCGGAGGTTAAGGGCAGATTTTGATCATTTTGCTTATTGACACATTCACCGATTCACCAATTTCCCCGTAAACCATAATGCACCTTGTTTACTGCCCAAAATTTTGCATAATCATTGTCTTTGATTTCTCTTGGGATGACTGCAATACCCAGCAGAAATTGGAACAATGGTTATGCAAAATTTTGGGGGTAAACAAGGTGGATTATGGTCTATGTGAAAGTGATGTATTCATGGGACAGTGACCTCCCGCGGGAGTGGCCTATAACCTTAAACTATAACCTTTAAACTATAACCTTCCCATAGGACTCAACGCATGCGCATAACTGACTGGTTCGGTTATCCTTATGTCGAACAGCAAGTGGTAACGTTTGCGCATGCGTCAAGCTTGCTGGGAGTTGACGGTGTTGACGGGAAATCGTAGTGGCCGATTGTTCTGAAGCACTTTTAAGGGAGATTTTTTTGCATACCCAATGTACAGCAGACATGTCTTATAGTTTGGATACTTTGGTTAAGCCATTGTTGAAGTTGAAGTGTCATGTATGGGAGAAGGACCATTTAGCTGGTTAATTTTCATCCATTTGGCTCCTCTGATGAAGCAGATTAAGCGTTCACGAGGTCGTTTGTTGTGATATGTTGATTTGTGGACATTCATGCGGTCACGGATTTCTGGGTTGTCGTGCATGATCTGCAGAGCTGCCTAGCATTTAGGTAAGATATACGCCTTGATTTACTTTGTGAAATGTGGAGCAGCATCATCGAATGTTATGTGTTAAAATTATAGCAGCCTGAATTCAACGAAATTTATGTGACCCCCATATTTCTGTAGTATTTGACCCTGACCGTACAGCGAGATCCAATTATATATCCCACACAAGCGACTAAACAGGTTAAACTTCTCTTTCGGTCACTCCGTATTTTCACTTTTAATGGTTAGTTCAAAGGGGACAAGTTCGAGTATTTTGATACTATTTAGCGGCATGAAATCAACAAGCAAATCTCCTACTCTTACAAGTAAGGCCGTAGTGGCGGCCGTAGTCGGATGTTTCCTTCCATTTTTGAAAATTTGCTTTTCTGGTTTACATTGGTGCTCTATGGTGATTACTTATTCTCAGAGATTAAGAGATCGAGGCGGTGGATTGTGAATTATTATTTGCTAAAACTTCGTTAAAAATAGACAGATTTTTCTTGTCCTTTTCAACCTTGTTTTCAGAGTTTTCGTGAACATGTAAAAGTATATCCCAACAAAACTTATTTGTAAAAGTATTGTTTCGGAACACTCTTTCATTCTTGAATGTTTGTGTTTGCATCCAAGGGGAGGAACACTGAGAGAATTTGCGTTTCAATAATCATGCACTGTTAGCTCTCAGATTCATTGACAAGAACCCTCACCATTTGGACGATGATTTTATTCTGATAATTATTCCATGATGATTTGTTTATACATACAAAATTGGCGCCAAAAAGAATTTTAATGTTATGCGTAAAATGTTTACATAATGTCTTGAAACATAACTGAAATCAATAGAAAATATGAAAATACACATATGCGCGTTCTTTTCCCTGCCCTACTATAAAATATGATAAGTGTGATTGAATGCATTTTCATATAACCATTACGATATTACTCCCACATTGACACTAGCACAAGTTCAAGCGCAAAACAATTCTTGCCCTTGTTCAGCTTTGCTCTTGCTGGACTGCCATTCCTGTTTGAAGTACAGGCAACACTGGACATGAAATTCCTGAATTTGATTCCTTGCATTGGCATCCGCATAAGAATTAGCTCCATCACATACAATGTATTTGTACACTTACAAATATCATAAATGTTATTATTCCTTTTCTATGCCAAAGATTTCTTTCCTTCTTGAATACAAATTCGTATCCATCACACTTTAGAAATCCTGAATATCTAAAGGGGTATTGCTAGTTGTGGGCAACAACAAAATGCCATAGGGGTAACTTGGCACTCTCCGATAGAAATAATTCTTTTGATACTCTGGGTCTCATATATTCAGTGTTTGTGCACATTAATTTAGGAGCACTTGGCTTGCCAATGTCTGTTTGGTTGTGTATACACAATAGTAGTGTATATAGTCATGTATCATAGGCTGCACAAGTTGCAATTGATGCTCCTGGTGTTGCAAGATGACAAGTTATGGAAAATTTTATTTGCCTGTTGCAGGAGCTCCCTATGAGATGCTCAGCACAAAACCTTGTTGATTAAGGTGATAGTCATTGAGGATGAGTGCATCGTGACATTCAAACCAGTTGCACTTTTCACTCAAGCCATAGCAGAGCTGGTACAAAATGGCGACTATCTGTTTTTTATTTAACCCTATGCTGTCTGCAGAATGTGAATGGTCTGTCACTCCATACTGAACTGCATCAAATAGCCTTGGTGCCCCAGAAGACACACAGACAGGCTTTAATTTTATTGAGTCATACATTGGATCACTTGAAGCTACCATCTATATCATCTAGTCAAAAATGGAAACATACAGTTTCATAGCCTTGGGTAGGATATCTTTGAAATTTTATCAGTCGCAGAATTAGGGCACTGCACCTGGTCTGGACACTGGTGGTTAGGATAGGGTATCTCTGAAAAGTAATCACTGGCAGAATCACTGCACTAAGGTTGCACATTTCTGAACAACAGGGCGTTCCTGAACCATAACTGGCGTAAAATCGTATTATTGCAAGGAGATTGTCACAAGAACTGCAATTATGACTATATAAACAGACTAGCATTTAGAATTTTTTTTCACAGCGTTTTATTCAAATCTTAAGCGTCGGACGTTTTGTACTCGGTCACAACTTACATGAAGAGATTTTTTCCCAGTTATCCAGTGTTTTAATAGAGGAGTTTTGCAGCCAAAACCCAAACAATAATCACTCATGGACCACAAACCGCGCAAAATTGTGAATGATCTGCGCCTTATTAGCCTTGAGACCAATCTCGCATATTACAAAAAAGACTTTGTCTTATCTGCACTCCACAGAGATAGAACAGATGACTAAGACGATGGTAATTTTTAAAAGAGGCGCCATTTTTCTTTGCTGCATTCGCTGCGATCCAATACCACCACAAACTTCCGTCCAGCGGCTCGCGCATACTCGCAACGTTACCACTTGCTGTTGGCAAGC